GCATATGAAAGAAAGCATTCCATACTTGACTGTCTAAGTCCAGCTTATTTCACATAGCATGATGTTCTCAAGTTCCATCTGTTTATCAGCAAATGCCATAATTTCATTCTTTTCATAGGTGAGTAGAACTTCATTGTGTATATATACCATGTTTTCTTTATCATTCACCTGTTGATAGATACCTGCCCTGGTTTCACAGCTTAGCTATTGTGAGTTGTGCTGCTATAAACATAGATGGGGCTGTATCACTATACTATTCTGATTTTAGTTCTTTTGGATAAATATCAAGTAGTCAGATAGCTGGGTTGTATGGTTGCTCTATTCCTAATCTAAAAGCCTTTAACAAGCACTCATTCGTGTTAAAAACACTGGAGAAACTAGGAATAGAAGGAACTTACCTCAACATTTTAAAGGCTATAAATGACAAACCCAAGGCCAGAGTCATACGGAATGGAGCAAAACTGAAGACAATGCCTCTAAAATCTCAAACAGGACAAGGATGTTCACTCTCACCATTCCAAATCAATATAGTTCTTGAAACTGTAGCCAGAGCAACAAGACAAGAGATGGGAATAAAAGGAATACAAATAGGAAAAGAAGTCAAATTATGTGTTTGCTGATGACATGAAGACCCAAAAAGTTCCACCAGAGGACTTGTAGAGCTGACAAAAAATTCAGCAAAAATATCAAGATGTAAGATCAACATTTATAAATCAATAACTTTCCTATACTCCAACAGTGAATATGCTGATAATGAAATCAGGAAAACTATTTCATTCACAATAACCTCAAAAAATACCTGGGAATTAATATAACCTAGAAGGTGAAAGACCTCTACAATGAAAACTATTAGAATACTGAAGAAAGAAATTGAAGAAGACCTCAGAAGATGGAAAAATCTTCTAAGTTTTTGGTTGGACAGAATTAATATCATGAAAATGGCCATGCTACCAAAAGCATTCTACAGATTCAATGCAATCCCCATCAAAATACCAATGATATTCTTCCCAGAATTAGAAAAGAAGTCCTAAAACTCACTTGGAAGAATAAAAGACCCAGAATAGCCAAAGCAATTCTAAGCTGAAACAGCAATGATGAAGGCATCACAATACATGACTTCAAATTATACTAGAGAGCTATAGTAAAAAAAAAATTGCATGGTACTGACAACAAAATAGATATGAAGACCAACAGAAGGCACAGAGACAGACCTACATACTTAAAGTCATCTGATGCTTGACAAAGGAGCCAAAAATATAGTTGGAGAAAAGGTAGACTTTTCAACAAATGATGCTGGGAAAACTGGATATCCACATGTATACAAGAATGAATCAATCTCTCTCTCTCTATATATATATATATTTTTTTCTCTCTCATCCTGTACAAAAGTAAACTTGAAGTGAATCTGATACTTGAGAAGACCAGAAATCTTGCAACTGCTAGAAGAAAGCATAGAGATAACACTCCAATAACAAGACCCTAAAGCTCAAGAAATAAAATCAATAATCAATAAGTGGGACAGCCATCAAATTAAAAAGCTTCTGCACAGCAAAGAAATAATTAAGAGCATAAGAGAGACCCTGACAGAGAATGGGAGAAAACCTTTGCCAGCTTCTCCTGTGACAAGAAACTAATATCCAGAAATATAAAGAGCTCAAAAAGATTAACACCAAAAAAAAAACTTAATCAATAAGTGGGAAAAAAACTAAACAGAAGAAGAAACATAATAACCAACAAGTATGTGAAAAAATGTTCAACATTCCTACCTATCAGGGAAATGCAAATCAAAACTGCATTAAGATTTCATCTCACTCCAGTTCAGTGTGGCAATTATTAAGAACATGAATATTAATTAATTCTGGAGAGGATGTGGGGGAAAAGGTATACTCATACATTGTTGATGGGATAGCAAATTAGTTCAACTGCTTTGGAAAGCAGGTTGGAGGTTCCTCAAAAAACTAAGAATGGAACCACCACACAACCCAGCTATCCCACTCCTCAGTATTTATCCAGAACTAAAATCAGCACAGTATACTGATCTAGCTACATCAGTGTTTATAGGAACACAACTCACAAAAGCCAAGTTTGAGAACCATCCTAGGTGTCCATCAACAGATGAATGGATAAAGAGAGTGATATAGATAGATAGATAGATAGATAGATAGACAGACAGACAATGGAGTTTTACTCATCCATAAAAAGAATGAAATTTTCTCATTTGCCAGTAAATGGATGGATCTGGAGAACATCATGATAAGTAAAATAAACCAGACTCAGAAAGTCATGGATCAAATGTTTTCTCTCATATGGGGAAGCTAGAGCAAAATAAGGGGGGAAAGGAGATCAGATATCATAAAAATAGAGGGAAGGTCACTAGAGTCAAAAGGAGACAGGGGGAGGGAAAAGGGACAGAAAAGCAGAAGAAATGCAAAATAAATGTGATACAATTATGCCATGTATGTATAAATATACCACAGTTAATTCATATATATAATTCCTTTTTATGTATATTCATATATATGTATATATTTGTATTTATCCAATTAATAATAAATTAGTAGAAGTAAGACTAGTAGAGTAGAAGAAGGAGAATAGGGAGAAGGAGAAGGGAGAGAAGGGGAGGAACTGGAGCCTGAAATGGAGTAAATTATATCCCATGCATGTATGATTATGTAAAAACAAACCCAACTATCATGTACAATAATACAAGCAAAAAGTATATATGTAGGGGCTGAAGTTGGGACTCAGTGGTAGAGCACTTGCCTAGCATGTGTGAGGTACTGGGTTTTATTCTCAGCACTGCATATAAATAAATGAATAAATAAAGATCCATCAACATATATTTATATTATTTATTTAAAAGTATATATATGTATGTATGTCAGTGGAACTGCAAATTAATAGAGCTTAATTTTTAAATTGAGTTAACTAGAGTGAGATTCAGATTGTGAATGATCTTGCTGGTGAACATCACAACAGACCATAGGATTGTGGAGTTGGTATGAACCCTCTCTACTTGGTAATTCATTTCTGGAAGATCAGCCTGAAGTTTACCTTTTTCAGTTTTCTCCATGATCATATGAGCTTACTTAATATCACTCTCAATAAAACTTCTTTTTTCCCAAAGTAGCTAAAATACATATTTTTTCCTCTGCAACTAAACGCAATCTTCACAGAAATTATGGTTCTTTACTTTCCTATTTTTCTTTAGTTACTTCACTACCATGATTGAAATGTGTTGTGTTACTCATGGTTTCTTCTGCAAAGTGGGTTTGGGTTACCAATTTTCAATTCTTCATGATTGCTTTTAAATTTTTATAGATGATTCTACATTCATTTGTGTTTTCCATAATTTTTTTCAAAACAAAATAGAAAATATAAGGTTTCTGGCCATAACCCCTGATATTTCTTTTGCTTCATTATTCTCATTCTCCTTGTCCTTTGTTCTCATCTAGATATCTTTTTGAAACTGGCAACATGATTGCTGTAACCCTAGACTTTGAATCACAAGTCCTCAACCCCAAATCAATCTGACCGTATTACCATATGTTCTCTCATTCTTGCTCATAAGAGGTTGACACAGTGAAAAATTTGAAGCCTCCAATCTAATGTGAATATTCCATGCTGCCCTCACTACACTCAGTTCTTTTTCTCTCCTGTGCCCAGGCAGTGTGAATAGATGGCCCACTTAGAAGCAGTTCCTTGTATTTGTATATTACATTCCCACTTACAAATCAAATACCCAGAAGTCTAACAGTATGTCTGCATGCTATAAGGGGATATTTATTGCCTAACAACAGAGTAGACAACTGAAAAGATTCACAATCATCCAGTGCCCATGCTATCCAGAGCCACCAGCTCTGTCCACATCCCAGAATGGTGGGATCAGCTACATACTTGGAGTTTTCATTCATGGACATATGTGTCTACCACTGGTAAAGCTACCAGCCTCTTTGCTCACACCCAAGCATGGCCTAACCCTCTGTAGTAGATTACAATGTTTTTCCCAGTTCTGAGTGTGTGTGTGTGCATGTGTGTGTGTGTCGTGTGTGTGTGTGTGTGTGTGTGTGTTGAGAGCCACAGCCGAAGGGGCCCCAGCAAACTTCCAGCTGCCGGCTGATGATTGGCTCACAGCGGCCCCAGCAACATCTAGCTGATTGGCTCCTCTGCAGTGATGCTCATTGGGCTGTTTCCCTGCCCTTTCAGACCACGGAGCTGCTCATTGGGGGACTTTTTTGGCTCCGCCCACGTGACCCAGCCAATCGGCCTCAAGAGCAGGAGGATTGTGGGAGGGGGAGAGAAGCTTGTGGGGGAGAGAGAGGCTTGTGGAAAGCCGGTGGTGGCAGTTGAGGCTCTGAGGGTTTTTCCTGAGAGGCTGTTTTGTTTGGCGTGTGTGGTTCTAAAAATAAAGTTAGTTTCTTTTGACAAGTGGCTCCTGATTGTGCCCAGCCAGACTGCGGCATGTGTGTGTGGTTGGAAATAAACCAAGGGGTGCTCTGCCACTGAGCTACATCCTCAGCCCTTTTTATATATAGCAGTTTATACTTTATGTCACTGAATCCTTGTTCTTAGGCCAGGCATGGTGACACACACCTGTGATCTCAGTGTCTTAGGAAGCTGAGGCAGGAGGATTGCAGGTTTAAAGCCAGCCTCTACGACTTGGCAAGGCCCTGAGCAACTTAGTGAGACCCTGTATCTAAATAAAATATTTTAAAAGGGGATGGTGTTGCTCAGTGGTTCAGAACCCCTGGGTTCAATTCCAGGTAACAAAATTTTTTTAAAAATAAAAATAAATCCTTGTTCTTGTGTGTTATTCAGATGCTTTGCAAGCCCTTTTTCATTTTGGAAGTGTCTCTCAAAGATTCAAAGTTGCTAGGACAGCTAAAGTCCTTGAGCTATACTATAACCGCTGGGTGATAGTCTGAAAAAGCTAAGATTGATATCTTGTTCCAACATGCCATTGTGTCCTTGAGGCATCAGGATGTGGCCCTACAAGTTACTGTCCTGAGAGCAGCTTTCACATCTTTATTTCTCAGAGTGTAAATTAAGGGATTTAGCATAGGGGTCACTACTGCATAAAATATAGAGACAATTTTATCTCCATCTTGGGACTTTTGGGTTTGGGGTCTCACATAAATATATATTAGTGTCCCAAAGTAGATGGTGACCATGATCAGGTGAGAACCACATGTGGAAAAGGCTTTAAGCCTGGCCTCCTGTGGTTGGATTCTTAAGACAGCCCTGAGGATACAAAAGTAAGAGATAAGAATAAAAATTAAAGGTACTGGCATTGAAATGACAGCACATGCCATCATCATAATCTCTAGGGAAATGGTATTAGAACAGAGCGATTTAAAGATGGCTTGGACTTCACAGGAGAAGTAATTGACTGCATTATGCCCACAGAAACTGACAGGAAACAGCAAAATAGGTATAATAGTGATCAGGAGGACTGTTATCCAGGCAACCAAAGCCATTAAAATACACACTCAAGGAGACATGACTAGCTTATACCTGAGTGGGTCTGAAATAGCCACAAATCGGTTGTAAGCCATAATGGCAAGAAGGGAAAAACTCAGCCAGTGCCAAGAAGGCTCGGATAGCAAGCTGGGCAAAACAAAAGCTGTAGGAGATGGTGGGGAAGTTCTGCAATGAGTTCACCATGATCAGAGGCACAGCATTGGTGGAGAACAGAAGATCCAGCACAGACAAGTTACCAAGGAAGAAATACATTGGGTTGTGCAGCTGAGAGTTGACTCCAACCAAGAAAATGATCATACTGTTTCCTGCCAAAGTTACTATGTAGAGAAACATCAGTGCCCAAAAGAGAACACTCTGGGATGTTGGGTGCCTGGACAGCCCCATGAGAATGAATTCAGTCACTTTGGTGTGGTTTCCAATTTCCTGGTAATTCATTTCCTCTATCCACAGCTATAGGAAGGGAGAAAAAGCATAGGAATCAATTCTTTGTAAACTACCAAATTGAATAAAGCACATCAACCCTTGACACAAGCTCATTTCTGAGATTTTCAGCCCTTAGGCCTCCAGAAGCTTTAATAGACCACCCCCAATCCTCCATCAAAAAGAACACAGTATTCAAGGAAGAGAGGCTGGAGGTTACAGCAAGTTTTGTGGCCAACAAGCATCCCATGTGCTTCCACACCAAGTTAAATGAGACCTGATCACAGATAGAAAGGGACTGCCTCATCATTCAAGGACAGAAGGATAACAGTATAGTGGCACTGAGTCAAAAAGAGAGAAGGAGAAACAGACAGTTGGAAGGTCAGGATATTTAGGGGAGGGATCCTTTGCTCACCTTCCTTCAAAAAAAAATTTGGAAAACTACTCACACACAGGCATTTTTAAGCTAGTATCTGAAATTTGTCATGTTTAAATACTTGAAAAGATATGATTTCCTCTTACTGTGAATATTCATAATTTAAAATTACACCTTCATGGATATTCCTTGGAAAGACTTTGTTTACCCTTAGCAGTATGCATACCTGGGTTTGAAGAGTGGGCACTAAGAACATATATTCTGTCAAGGGCCACTGAAAGGGCTTGTTCCATGGAGAGCTCCTGGTGAAAAGGCTGCTGCCATGTCCTTCATCCCAGAACAGGCTACTCATTTTGGAAGGTGGTCACTTCTTTTTGCCATTAGGGCTAATGTTAACTTCATGCACGTATGCTTGAGTGAAAATACTGACCCTCCTCTTCCAGGGACTCCATCTGGAGGTCTAAGAGAAGTGGCTTCTTTGCATTCAAAGAACCCTGCAACATTGAGATATTGTCAATACTATTCCCAAGGAAAAGGTACCAACAAGCTCTTCACCAAGAACTCCACGGGTTGCATGTATTTCCAAAAATGTCATTCTAGCACCTCCCTGCCAGGTGTAAGATGAAATCATCAACAAATTATATCTGTGAGATGGCCTGAGCAGGTGACTTAAACCAACTCAAACACTCAGTGACAGTGGGGAGAAATTCAGACCAAGAGTCCCTTCCTGCTCTTGGCACCAAACTTTATTTTATTAAGATTAATTCTCCTTTAGGATGAGCATGATGAGCTTTTTGTAAACAACTGTCAAATCGTGAGTGCTTGCCCAAATTCAATGATTCTTTGGACAACCACAAAGTGTTCACTTACCTAAAGTATTAACTTCCAGTTCTCCTGGAGGGTGGGAAGAACTGCGGTCTCTGTTCAGAAAATGGTTTCCTTTGGACAGAGGCCAACAGACCCATCATTGGTGATGTTAAGGACCTAAGACCTGTATACATCAATAGTTAATAAATTATTTCTAATTGCTTCTTCAGAGATAAGGTGCTTCTCTCCTATTTCTGTAAAAGCAAGCAGTGAGCTAGGAAATGAATATGTGGACAGAGATGAATATTTCTTTTTTCCCAAGGGTATGAGCTAAAATTCACTCTCTTTCCATAACTATCAATGTTTCCCAACAACTTGATCCCCAGATTCTGAGTTCCTCATGGGATAGGCACAAGAGACATCTCTCTAGTCACAAGTTTGCCAAGGATATCAGAGGCTTAGGGGATACCAAGAAAGTCATCTAAATCTGAGTTAATCTGTAGCCCTCCCTTGCAACCCATTGCCTACAGTTCAGAGTTGCAGCAAAGCCAAAGTAAGTAATATGAAAGTCCAATCCTCTTGCTAGAGATAAACAAAAGCCAAGTGTAACTGGCACATCTCCTGCTAGACTCACACTCTAGAAAGAGAGAGACTTCCTAGTCACATGTCTCACAAAGTGGCTCTAGAAAGTAATCACAACAGTCCAATCTTGAGGAAACAGAAAAAAGAATCTTGGCAAGAAAGCCTCAGGAGAAACAATTAGAAGTTTATGCCAGCCATAATACTGAAGTTGTGAGTAGCCTCTGTGGGCAGCCACAGTAAATGTGGTCCCTGGTGAAGCAAACAAACTGACTCTTTGAGCCAAAGAATTATAATAACAAGTTCATGCTGCAATGTCACAGCCCAATGCAAGGGCTTTCTCCACTCCTTGTCCAAAGTTATATCTTAGGAGTACTCTTTAGACTCCTTCAGGAACCAGTGATTCTTATCTAGACACCAATATCAAACGCACTGCCATTATTTATTCTGCATATCTTCTATGTCAGGGTCTGTGCTGGCTGCTGGGAGGAAGGCAAAGTCAACAAGAGTTCAAGACTAATAAGAAACTAAACACAGACATATAAAGCAGACATTAAGAATTAAGCATTAAAGTAGGACATGGTAGTGCCTGTAATCTCAGCTCCTGAGGAGTCTGAGGTAGGAGGATCACAAATTTGAGGCTAGCCTGGCAACATAGTGAGACCTTGTCTCAAAAGAGAGACAGAGAGAATTAAGCCTTAATTAAGGCTTAGGATTAAGACACATGAAAGGAAAACTGGATGGGCTGGGGCTGGGGCTCAGTGGTAGAATGCTCGCCTAGCACGTGCGAGGCCCTGGGTTCGATCCTCAGCACCACATAAAAAAATAAAATAAAGATATTGTGTCCATCTACAACTAAAAAACATTTTAAAAAAAGGAAAACTGGAGGCAACACTTGACTGAGGGGTGCAATTGAGCTGCAGCCAGAAAGATCACCAGAGTTCCAACTTCAACTCCACCACTTCCTGGCTGTGTGATTTGGGGTGAACTATGATACTTAATCTGTCTCACCTTTACATTTTATCTCTTCGACATGGAATGAATAATAGTAATTACCCTATTTCATTGTTTATAGGAATAACTAAAAGAATATATGTATAACTAATCCACAAGTACATGTTATGGTTTCGAAATGAGGTGTCCCCCAAAAGCTCATGAATGAGACAATGCAAGAAGGTTCAGAGGAGAAATGATTGGATGATGAGAGTCTCAACCCAATCAGTGAATTAATCCCCAATAGGGATTAACTGGGTGGTAACTGTAGGTGCATAGGGTATGGCTGGAGGAGGTGGGTGTTGTGGGTGTTGGGGTGTGGCTTTAGGGTACATATATTTCATACCTGGAGAGTGGAGTATCTCTTTCCTTCCTGATCGCCATGATATGAGCTGTTTCCCTGCCACACTCTTGTACCATAATGTCCTGCCTCACCTTGAGCCCTGAGGAATGGAGCCGGCTGTCTGTGGACTAAGAGCTCTGAAACCATGAGGAGCCCTCAAATAAATCTTTTCTCCTCTACAGTTGTGCTGGTCAGGTCCTTTAGTCATAGCAGTGAAAAAGCTGACTAAAACAGCACAAGCATCCATTCAAGAAAAAGCCCAACACTGGGCTATAAGGGAGCTATAAGGGAGCTATAAGGGAGCTATGGCAATTCATACAGGATTAGTCTATCATTAGCAACAACATGCAGAGTATCAACAGTCTACACCAGTACAGTTTCTTTGTCTCTCCTTTAATGCAGTTATTTAGCCCTACCATGTTCCCCATAGATGTTTAATATAAGTAGGTGGAATAAATTCTGGGAAATATGAACTAGATCTAGTTCATATTTCCCAGAATTTATTCCACCTGCTCATTCCAGAAGTGAGAGTTCAGAGGTTAGAGAAGAAACACAGAAAAACGAAGTAGAAGAAAGATGCTGTGTGTTTAGTGTTCAACTTTGAGTAACTCATTTCCTTACTCTTAGGCTGATTTTCCATATCATTTCCCTACCTTCTGGACCTAGGATGCAACCTGGCATCAGGGCATGGTGGCAATGAGGCAGCTTTTACTAGTGAGAAAACGGCATAAGAGAAGGTGGAGAAAGGAGCCAAATAGAACAAAATCTCCATTGAATACTCCTTCTAGATATTCCCAATATCTCCCAAGTTCTCTCATGGGCCAGCAGTGCATGTAGACCGCATCCAGCAGGTGCATCTATCTCTTAATGGGTATTTGAGACACAGAAAGAAATCTAGAGGATGTTTTATAGCAGGAGGGTTTCAAATGATCCCACACCTGGACTGTCACCTGTAATTGGGAGCTATTGGTCATGTTTGTCACTATTCCAATAGAACATGCAGAAGAAATTGTCTTCAGAGAAAAAGAAGAATGAAATGGATGCAGAGTGATGAAAGACACAAAAAAGTAGAGAGTTCTGATGGTGTCTGGGTCTGGAAGCCCAGCTATAGTTCTGTCATACACTATCCCCAATCTGGTAGTCATAGAAATTCTCATGGTTTCCTGGGCTATTTGGAATTGGTTTCTGCTACTTTTGACCAATAAAATCCTAACTAGTGCATCTGTTAACTCTTCCTTAGAGAACAAGGTATTGGGAGATAAAAGGACTACAGCAGACACCATTCATTCTAGTCTTTCAGGCAAAATAAAGAGAGTCAAAAAATAGAGTCTCTGGGTTCTACTTTGCCAGCTAAGAAATCTGGTTAAATGTGAACAGCCCAGGATACTGAAAGAAGAGAAGTACTTTTAAAGACCCCTATGAACTTGTCCTGGGAAGAACTTACCATGTCTCTTCCTTGCTGGCTATGATTCATTGAATTGTGTCCACCAAAAGATCTTTCCACACCCTAACTCCTATAACCTGTGAATACAATTTTATTTGGAAACAGAATCTTTGCACATGTAATCAAATTAATATGAGATCATTATCATGGGCCCTAATCCAATATGACTGGTTGGACTATAAAAAGAGGAAAGTTAGAGATAGACTCATTCAGGGAGGCAGCCATGCAACAACAGAGATAAAGATTGGAGTGATCTGTCTAACATCTAAAAGCCAAAGAACACCAAAGAATGACAGCAACCACCAGAACCTAGGAGAAATAAGGAAGGATTGTTTTTACTATAAGCCTATGGAGAGAGTATGGCCCTTCCAATTCCTCGTTTTTGGATTTTTTTTTTCAGTGACCAAAATACCTGACCAGAAAACTTAGAGGAGGAAAAGTATTTTGGACTCACAGAGAATTGAGAGCACCACATAACATAGCTAGCAGAAAATCCTCAGAGTTTCTGGTAAGAAACAGCCGCTGTTTTCTAGTTTGCTGCTGAACCTACTTTCTCTATAACTTATATTTCACTTGTAGTTTTAGGAGAAGGCTAGGAAGAGGACTTAGATTCATATTATCAAGTCACTGTCTTGTCCAAAACTTGTAAGTACTTATTGTGCTATTGTACCAAAGTTAAAATGCCCTTATTAATTAGGATGATACAGAAGTGCTATATTTTATAGATTCAGATAAGGTAAGAGCAGTGGTGGTAACATTTTTTAATATTCATAACTCCTACGCCCCCCAAAAAAGAAAGAGAATAGAATAACAAAACCAAAAACCCAGGGCAATGTCCACCATATAACTAGATAACAAGGTATTCTCATGAATGCCAAAGGCTGGGATGGCTGGGACCAACCCTGGCACAAGCCTCTGTAGAATCTTAGCATCGGAGGAAAGGAAGCAAGGAAGCACCTGGTGGATCTAGAACTCCAATACTGACCTACCTTAAGGCAATTCTAACTATGGTTGCCACAAATAAAAGATTAGAAATGAAAAGAACCTACTGATATGTAGCTAACATTTTTAAAACACAAAGAGACTGTAATTTGTAAGCTCAACTGACAAAAAATAATAACCAGATTGTTTCATCACATTTTAACCCAATACATAGAGATGGTTTTATTGAGGAGAACGTAGTGTCCAGGTCATGCAATTGCTATGGCTTCCTCACTCCCTCCAGGGGCAGCGGAGTTTTTCTCCAGAAAGCACAAGTATTAGCTAAGAGGGAAAAGGAATGATGAGATCCCCAATTGGGAAAACATTCTTGCATATTGGGCACTCCTATTTATAAACAATTTGGAAGTTGAGAATTTGGGGAAATCTGGAGGGTCAATAAATGGCACAACTCTTCCCTGCCAGAGTGAGTTCTCAGGCCATTGAGAAAAACCATAGTCATGCCAGCTCTACATTGGGAAAGGCTGGTTGGTGGATGCAGCTTGCTATGGGAACTAAATAGGTTTGTTAATTACCTACATGTCCCCTTGTCTGGGCTTGAAACAACCCATTGCAGGAAGATGTTGGGTCCACACTGCAAGTTCACGTCCCCAGTACTGTTACTTCTTCCAAGCTGGATGAAAAGGAAAGGAAAAAAACCAATCACCTGTATTCAGAACTTTTGAAAAATTAACCACTTGATCAAGAAATGTGGACCCACTGCATACTTCACTGCATGTCCATAGGGCATGTGTTGTACCTGTGGCCAAAAGTTTATTCATTTTTTCCTCCACATTTTTACTGGTGCATTAAAGTTTTACATAATGTGGAATTTGTTGTTACATATTAGTATATGCATACCATAGAACAATATGATTTGATCAGTATCTCTCCCTAGCACCTCCACTCTTCTCATCCCCTAGTAAAAGTTTACACTTTATTCTATTTTCCAAACCCAAATTATTTCTAGCCACCATTGCCCAACATATCTCATGAGAGGTCCTGCAACAAGATCAAATGACAAGTATTGCATTCTGTAATAATAAAAATCCAGAGTTGGGGTTATGGCTCAGTGGTAGAGTGCTTGCTTGGCATGTGTGAGGCACTGGTTCGATTCTCAGCACTGCATATAACTAAATGAATAAAAATAAAGGTCCATACATCTAAAAATACATATGAATTTTTTAAAAAAATACAAAATAAAAATCCAACCTACAAGATATCCCACAATTAATTTTCCTGGGGAAACAATAAACTTTAAGATTCTCCTCACAGAAAAGCAAAGCAGGAGGCATCACAATACCAGACCTCAAATTATAGTAAAGAGCTATAATTAAAAAAAAAAAAAGCATGCCATTGGCACCAAAATAGGTATGAAGACCAATGCAATAGAATAGAAGACATAGAGGGAATCACACATGAATATAGTTATCTGATACTAGACAAAGTTGGCAAAAATGTACCTTGGAGAAAAAAATAGCTTTTTTAACAAATGGTGCTGGAAATTTTTGAAATCCGTATGTTGTGGAATGAAATTTAACCCCTATCTTTTACCCTGTGCAACATTCAACTCAAAGTGGATCAAAGACCTAGGAATTACACCAGAAACCCTGCAACTTGTAGAAGAAAATGTAGGCCCAACACTGCAACATGTCAGCACATGAACCAATTTCCTCAATAAGACTCCTAAATCACAAGAAATAAAATTAAAAAATCAATGTGGGATGGCATCAAATTAAAAATCTTCTTCACAGCAAAGGAAACAAGACTGTGAAGAGGGAACCTACAGAATGAGAGAAAATATTTGCCATCTACATCTCAGATAGAGCATTAGTCTCCAGAATACATAAAGAACTCAAAAACAGGGGCTGGGGATGTGGCTCAAGCGGTAGCGCACTCGCCTGGCATGCGTGCGGCCCAGGTTCGATCCTCAGCACCACATACAAACAAAGATGTTGTGTCTGCCAAAAATAAATATTTAAAAAAAGAACTCAAAAACAACACCAAAAAAAATAACCCAATGAATAAATGAGCAAAGGAACTGAACAGGCACTTCACAGAAGAAATACAGTCAATAAATAAATATATTTATTTATATATCAATTAGAGAAATGCAAATTAAAACTACACTGAGATTCCATCTCACTCCAGTCAGGATGTCAATTATCAAGAACACAAGTAACAATAAATGTTGATGAGGATGTGGGGAAAGAGGCACACTCATACATTGTTGGTGGGACTGCAAATTGATGCAGCCAATATGGAAAGCAGTATGGAGATTCCTTGCAAAACTGGGAATGGAACCACCATTTGGCCCAGTTAGCCCACTCCTTGGTCTATACCCAAAGGACTTAAAATCAGCATACTACAGTGACACAGTGACACAGTGTCACAGCCATATAAATGTTTATAGCAGCTCAATTTCCAATATCTCAACTATGCAACCAGCCCAGTGCTGTTCAACAGGTGAATGGAAAAAGAAAATGGTATATATACACAAGAAGAATAACATTATGGCATTTGCTGGTAAATAGATGGAGCTGAAAACTATCACGCTGTGAAACAAGCTAGGCCTAAAAAGTCAAAGGTCAAAATGTTTTCTCTGATATGCAGAAACTAATCCAAAATAAGGCGGGGAGGCAGTTAAAAAAAAAGAGAGAAAGGGAAAAAGAGTGGGTAATTTCATCAAACTAGAGGAAAAATCAGTAAAATAGACAATGAGGGTTGAGGAGGAGGAGGAAAGAATGGGAAAGAAAAGAACAGTGGAATGAATATGACCAAACTTTCATGGTGGGTCCCAGTCACACACAAAAATAGACTATCATGGATTAAAGACGGATCAGTGGAGTAGGTGGAGGGGAGCAGGGAGGAGGAAGTGCTGGTGACTGAATCAGAGTGAATTAGGTTCCATGCTTTTGTGATTATGTGAAGGTGTATCCTGGTGTTATATCATAACTAAAAAGAACTCAAAAATTCTTAAAATTTTTTAAAAGATTCTCCTTACAAATTCAAGTTCAAAGACATTAGAGAAAAGCCTAAATTTTTTGAGTTAAAGTAGAAAGAAATTGAAGTCCTAATTCATTCTCTCAAATGTCCCCTCTTGTCAGACTCAAACAGAGGTTCTGAGTGGTTTGTGGAGCCAGAGATTTGCATTTTGAGCCACTATCCACAGGAATGGGTGCTATGCATTCAGTGCCAATTCACTGTTACTCATTATCACTGCTTCAGAATGTCTAGGAATTGCTCCAAGACAGAAGCCCCAGTTAAATTAGGTCTCATTTGAGGCACTTTTCTTTTAAAGCATTAAGTTTATATTTGATACCTCTTCCTTTCCATTCCCTGCTTCAGGCCTCATGGCAAGGTATCGATGATACTAGAGCTGCCTGCTACAAGAGCCCCGTATTTCCATGAGCAGGCACTGTCAGCTTCCAAGTGCACATGGTTTTCTGCTGTTTGCCAACTTAGCTCAGGAAGGATCAGTGACTTTGTAACCAGTCCACATTTCCCACGTATAGGGCAAGACCACATCATGGAGCTTTTCCCAAAGCCTGTTCTGTGGGTGCTTAGAACAATAAGGTTTCCATGGCCTTTGTTGCTATTAAAAGCAGTAGGCCTTTAGTTTTAGAAACTGTGACCAAGAGAAGAGAGAGATCAGAGAGGAGGATGGAAGAAGAGGAACGTGATAGAGCTAGGAAAGTGCCACATGCCCAGCTTGGAGTGTTGGAAGCCCCTTGTTGGGTGGACGCAATGACAGAAAGTACCAGAATGATTCAAGGTAGATTTGTGTGATTGTAAGCTCAAACCAGGCTGTTTGGAATCTCTGTTTTGGGATATGTAAAGGGGCTAGGAAGGAAGCCACCTCACTGTTGCTGCCTAGAACCCAGCAGTGTTGCTGGCCCTCCAAGGAAGTAAAAGCTTCCAAGACATGAGAATGGCTTTGGCTGATTATTACACAGAAGATTAGACAGCTTGGTAGTGTTACTCTTGAGGTTCCATAATTTATTCCCCATGTCACTCACTCAATGGAGTAAGCCACTTTGATGACTATGAGTTTGAATACTACAATGGAGATCTTGAGATCCCCACCCATACCATCTCGTAGTTATGACACAAATGCACAGAATCTCAGCAGGGGGGAGGGTGGTACCTAAGAGGCCGCCAGTCTCAGGTTCCACTCCCCTAGCATGGCTTGATCACTGAATTGCACCCAAGCCAAACTCATAAGTTTTCTGCCTCTCAACTCAGCCTGGCAGCCTCTTCACACAGTGGTAACTGCATAATTGGAACTACAATTGTGGCAGATTTGACTTAAACAACATTGTCAAGACCTGCAGCATATGCAAGATTTACAAATAAAATAGTAGCCATTAGGGTTTAGGTTTGAATTCAGATGTGTGACCTAAGGAGACTGTCCCCTCTGTGTCCTCACCTCTCCTAGGACTTCCTGAGTCCTGCTTTCAGTGCTATTAAATGCAAGTTACAGACTGGGGCAACTCCTCTAAGGATACTTCCCATCCTAACAGTCATCAGCAATACTTCAGAGGGCTGTTCCCTGTGGTCCATACAGGCTGGAAAGCCACCATCTGGGCTCTGGGAAGCTGTGTTGCCAGGTTCTAGCCATTCAGTCATGCCACTACTCCCCTAAGGATGGGCTCTTCATCCTTCTTAGGATTGCCAACAGCAGCAAGATCTCTAGCAGGATTGTTCCCCAGGTTTCTACTTCAGGCATCAATCTGGCTCTCCAAGGTAACCCTAGGCCTCTTCTCTAGGACTATTCAGTGACATGAAAAAGGAGCAGAAAAGGACACCCTAGCAGCCTTCACAGTCTGGCCGCTGCTCTGTGCTCTATGCTGGGATATGCTTTATACCATGGAGTATAATAAGAAAAAATAGCAAACTGTTTCAATGTCAAAGTAGTAATGGTGATTAAATTATGATTACCTTCAGTATTTTTTATTTGATTTCATTTATATATTATTAATATATATGTGCTATTAATATTTTATTTTATCACAATAAATCAAATTGTAATGCATCCATCCTATGCAATGCAGCACTTAAAAAGAATGAAGTAAATCACTATGTGCTTTTTGAGAACCTGTACCAGACATATTAATACATGGCTTATTCCAAGAATAAGAGCAGTGTGTATATTATGATCTCATTCATATTTTAATGTGTGAGTGTGCTGATTATATATGTTTATATGAGTGTGCCTGTTTGTGCATGTGTGCATGTGTGAGTATGTGCAGGTGTGTGTCTTTACGTGTCTGTATACATATGATTGTGTGACTGTGTGTACATATGTGTGTGGTGCATATGAGTCCATTAGTGTGCATTTCTTTGCGCAAGACAGATGGAAAGGAAATGCTGCTTACTGCTAAGAATGGTTCTCTCTGAAGAGTAGGGGAAAGGACTGAAGGAGCAGAAACTTTGACATTGATTTTCACTTCTTACTTGTGTTTGGATCATATGTAACTTTTACTAACATCTTTGTACTTTTCAGTATTTTTAAGGTTTAGGGTGCAATAAAACAAAGCAATCCCCACATCTCTGCAGCACACTGACATGCAAGAAAAGGGTGAAAGTGATGGGGTGTAGCAAAGCTAAAGCCAAGACAGACACAAAAAAAACAAGAAGCATATTTTCACTCATAGAGTTTTCAAGGGAGGATGAAGCGGGTCTTGAGAAGGTTGAGCATGTGCAGAGTGGGAAGCTGAGCTGGGTCACAGAAGGAGTGTGATCTCAGGCTGGGTTGGCCTCTATCAGGACAGAGGACTTCAGACAGGAACTTATTGTGGGTTTTAGGACAGGGCCAGCAAGTGGGGAGAGGACCAAGGGGTGGGTCACCAGGGAAAGGTTTTGTGACCATCTACTTTGAAGTGAAGAGTGGACACATTGTTCTCTAGGGATCTGTCCATCTCAAAGACTTCTAGTGCAACTGACTGGGAAACAAAAACCGCAACCACCATCTATACCAAGCAAAGCTATCATCAAAATTGGTTTTGTGGTTTCATTGGCCCCACACTGAGCCTCAGAGTTTCCAGTAGAAACACTGTGTCCTGAAGAAGTAAGCTCATTTAGGTGGCAACACCATCCCCACAGGGCCCTTAACCCTTATTAATTCTTGATTTGCTAAATCTCTAAAATCTTTAGAAACTTTTTTCTATTTATCTGTGAAAATGGATGCACAAGAATAAATTAGAGGCTGAAAATAAGGTTTCCTGTTTGTAACTTAGGTCTTTTCAAGGCAAGGAGGAAGTGAATGTCCCTGAAATCTGGGAAGCAAATCAACCAGAGGTATGTCACATTCCACTCCCCATTGTCCCTGACCTCTCTTGACTCTGTCCTGGTCATTCCTACCCTGCAACCCGGCCCAGCCCTTTGCTCTCTGTTCTTCTCTATGCCTGACCTGGAACTAATCGTGGAAGATGCAGAAATGAGCAACAAATATTAATTCAACATTTATTTATACTTCTAACAGGTGCTAGCCTCTATGTGAGAGGCAGAATAAGACCATTCTTGCCATCCTGAAGCTCACAAACTACTGAAGTGGACAGAAAAATAAAGAATTACAGAATTTTCTCAGCACAGTAGCACATGCCTACAATCCCAGCAGTTCAGGATGCTGCAGCAAGAGGATCTTGGGTTCAAGGCAAGCCTCAGCAATTTAGCAAGGCCCTAAGTAACTTAGCGAGACCCCATCTGAAAATTAAAAGGGCTGGAGATGAAATTCAGTGGTTAAGTACCTCTGGGCTCCAACCCAATACAAAAAAAATTATAGAACTTAGTGATAAACAACATGATTGGGGAAGCCCAGAGTACTATGGGAACATAGGGAAGGGACCAACCCATCTGAGCAACTGAAGAGGCCAGGGAAGGTGTCTAGAAGGAGGTACCACATAAAACTAAGGCTTCCCTGCAATTGAGGAGCCCAAACAGTGGAAAGGTGGCAGTTACTGCAGGTTATGTGTCCTTCCTTTCTACTGTACTGTTCACAGCCTGTCAGCTGCAGGAATCTTGGGAGTTTGGTAGTGGTAGTAAGGATAATATAACTAATGCACAAAGTCAAAAGTGTGTAAGATGAACTAACCAAACCTTCCTTCCTACAGGAATTTCCTACAGCAATGTCAGTGACCCTGCAGGCCCAGTCTCCATTTCAACCTACTGATTTCATCAACCTTAGCCTCTCACTCCCACCGCACACAATTCTTCAAAATGTAGGACAGTTCGGATAGAAACAGTGTCATTAGGTCTATGAAAAATAACTTCATATTAGAATTCCCTCATCTTGGTTCATCTTTGTAATAACTCAGCAGGTGAACCAAAGTGACCTCATGTCAGCAGTTCTTCATTCTCCATGAAGAGTGGGCAGAATTGGAAAGCTAATAGAATGAAAGCAAAGGCTAAGCCTAAAAACGCTGGCTGCACTCCCACCTGTGGAAAGAGCTCCATAGCGTCCCACAGCTTGGAGAATTGCTAGCAAGCTGTTCTTTTCAGCCCAGGAATTCTATAAAGGAGAATATAGGATGGACACACTGCAGAAAAACCACACCTTAAGCTCTGAGTTTATTATCTTGGGCTTTGGGGACTTGGAAGAACTGAAAATCTTCTTTTTTGTACTCTTTCTAGCCATGCACCTCATCACCCTAGCAGGACACACAACTATTGTGCTCATCACCCTCATTAACACCTGTCTCCAGACCCCCATGTATTTCTTTCTCCGGAGTCTGTCCACCATTGAAATTTGCTATATATTAGTCATTGTCCCCAACATGCTTGCCAATTTCCTGTCCAGGAACCAGCGGATTCCCTTCCTGGGCTGTGCCTTGCAAATGCACCTCTTCATCGCCCTGGGTGGAGCTGAGTGTTTCCTGCTGGCTGCTATGGCCTATGACCGCTTTGTGGCCATCTGCAACCCCCTGCGCTACACACTCATCATCACGAGGGCCCTCTGCCTGCAGATGCTGGTTCTTGCATGCATCAGTGGCTTTGCACTCTCACTCACCCTTACCACACTCATATTCCTCCTGCCCTTTTGTCAGTCCCATGAGATTAATCATTTCTTCTGTGACATTCCTGCCGTGCTATTCCTGGCCTGCTCTGACACACGAGCCAATGAGATTGCAGTCTTTCTTGTCTGCATGCTCATCCTGCTGATTCCCTTCTTGCTGATCCTGCTCTCCTATGGATTCATTATTGCTGCCATCCTCAGAATCCACTCTGCTGAAGGCAGGAGCAAAGCCTTCTCCACCTGTGCTGGCCACCTGTTGGTGTCTCTTCTACACTATGGTTGTGCAATATTCATTTACATTCGCCCCAAATCCTGCTACACCCCAGAACAAGACAAAATTGTGTCCTTAATCTACACCAATGTAACCCCCATGCTCTACCCTATGATCTATAGTCTGAGGAACAAGGAAGTAAAGGGTGCCCTGAAGAGACTCCTGGAGAGCCCCAACCGATGAAGCAATAGCCCATCAAGTAGAAGGGGATGATGTGGCCCACCAGGAATGACCTGACCTCTTTCAAGAATCCAGTCATCTCACTATGCACCTTGTGGACCCATGCCTCCCTATGAGGACTTCTCCATGGTTCTCACTGCCCCCTTTTCTAGGTGGTCAGAAACATGGAACAGATCCTAAGGTTTTCTGGGACATGGCAGTCCTGCAGTGTTTGTAGATGTTTTTTGCCCCCTCATGGGGGATTCCATTTGTCATCTGGAGCACTGTCAGAAATGTGGACACTGGCAAGCAGAAGGTCACTAGAGGACCCAAACAAAACTTCTTTGGCCACAGAGCCAGGAGGGATAGAAATAGAAGGAGTTCCCAGAACCAAATAAGGTAAAGTAAAGCAGAAAGGCAAAGCCAGCTCATTCATAGAATTCCTGCACCACCAGAAAATAACCTAAACATTACTTGATATACAGCAGTGCAAACTGAAGCAGTGGCACTAGCATTAATAGTAGCCTATGATGTCACTTCTACTTCTTGGCCAACTGATGCCCCTTCGTCCTTCAAATCTCAATCAAAGACTTAGTTGTTCCCCAAAGCCCATGAAACCTGCTCCTTCCTGACCCACCCAGCATACCCAGCTGCCCCTCCCCTGTGACCTCATGTATATCATTTAATGCTGAAATGGCTTTTCTGCCTCCCTTACTGTTCCTAGAAGCCCCTTGAAAGTGAGAACTATGATTAATCTGTGTCATCCCAGTGTACGGCACATAATCAATACTCATTAAAGATCGTTGAACTTAACTATGCATCCCCATGAGTGATTCAGGGACAAAGGTCAGGTGTACTAATCCCGAGAAAGGGCTTGTTGTCTCCAATCCACCCCACAGATTGGACTAGAATTCCTGTGTTTCCCTCCACTATAGTACTTAGCAGGAAATATTTCTTGAATAAATTAATGAGCACCTCGAGTATACCAGGTACTGGGTTTGATGATGGGTATACAAAGAATTTTAAGACAAGGTCTCTGTTCTCAAGGAGCTCACAAATTAATCTGAGTTACTAGGCACTAAAACAATTCATTTTAATACAATAATTACTTTTATTTCTTCACAAAAAGGGATGAATCATCCATACCATCAAATCTAGGAACACCTACATGCTGTTAAAAGGGTCAAGAAACAGGGAGCCTAGGTCCTTGATGGGTCTTTCACTGAGCAAATAAAACACCACCAAGACACCTTCCTCTGGACTCTGTTCAATCAACAATATATTTCTTTATGGATTCAGTGAAAAAGAATTCCCAAATGAGGCATGAAACAAAAATCCTATAAACATCAACTGTAACTTCCTACTGTTTCCACCATCATGCCTAGGTGATGACCCTGCCCTCGGGGCCACAGCTCAGGACACAACTGGGCCCTTCCACATTGCCTGTCCTCCTTCAAGCTACACTGTCCCCTTCAGAGCAGGGCAATGCTGCAGCTTGGAATGGACAGGGTAGCAAAAGGGGCACTAGCATGAGGTGCTTTCAGAGAAATTTGATGACAATTTCAGGTTGCTCAAAGGAAGTTGAAGTGGTAGCTGAATTAAATCTGTGTGACTTTGGAGAGATAAAAATAAAATGAGAGCAGAAAAAAGAAATATAAGAACAAGATAGACAGAGATGGAAATAGTTACTGTCTGAGCAAGTTTAGGTAGGTGTTCCTCCTTCTCTCACTTCAAGAAACATTAGGTCCCTCTGGTCACATCTGTAAATCCTCCCCTAATTTTAAAATAAACCAGTAAAATTTTGACAACTATTGAAGATTTATGAAGCGTAATTTTTTTTCTCTTGGTGTTTGGGATTTAACCCTGGGGTAGGGGACATTTAACCACTGAACCACATCGCCAGCCCTTTGTTATATTTTATTTAGAGACAGGGTCTCGTTGAGTAACTTAGAGTCTTGCTAAGTTGCTGGGACTGGCTTTGAACTCACAATCCTCCTGCATCAGCTCCCAAGCCACTAGGATTACAGGTGTGTGCCACAATATCCACTAAGGATAGATGTTTTAATATTATTTTCTCTACTTTTGTTTAGATATCTGATTTTCATTTTTAATTAACACTATTGACTAGTCACTTTTTAAAATATTTTTTAACTTGTAAATGGACACAATGTTTTGTTTATTTATTTTTATGTGGTGCTGAGGATGAAATCCAGTGCCTCACATGTGTGAGGCAAACCCTCTACCACTGAGCCACAACCCAAGCCCTTGACTAGGGCTTTTGTCTACTTGCATAGAATACCCTTGCCTTCAATCTCTCTCTCTCTCTCTCTCTCTCTCTCTCTCTCTCTCACACACACACACACACACACACACACACTCAGATGCACATAGTCTTTTGAAAAGGATAGACTGGTAATTAGGCAGTCTGGCAGCAGTTAGTAGGAAGAGGTCCCCTCCACTCAGAAGCACTGCATAGATTGGGCTCTGGGGTGAAAAGGGAATGAACACCATCAAAAGGGCCATCTCACGCCAGTCAGCATGGCAGTTATCAAGCATACAGACAACAGTAAATGTTGGCAAGAATGTGGGGGGAAAGGCACACTTACACATTGCTGGTGGGACTGCAAATTGGTGCAGCCAATATGGAAAGCAGTATGAAGATTCCTCAGAAAACTTGGAGTGGAACCACTATTTGACCCAGCTAACCCACTCCTTGGTCTATACCCAAAGGACTTAAAATCAGCATACCACAGTGACACAGCCACATCAATGTACATAGCAGCTCAATTCACAATAGCTAAAGTATGGAACCAACCTAGATGCCCCTTAAGTAGATGAATGGATAAAGAAACTGTGGTATATACACAATGGAATATTATTCAGCATTAAAAGAGAATAAAATCATGGCATTTGCAGGTAAATGGATGGAGTTAGAGAATATCATGCTAAGCAAAGTAAGCCAATCCCAAAAAACCAAAGGCCAAATGTTCTCTCTGATAAGTGGATGCTGATCCATAATGGGGGGGGGCATGGGAAAAATGGAGGAACTTTGATTGGGCAAACGGGAGGGAGGGAAGGGGAGGGGGCTTTGGGGTAGGAAAGATGGTGGAATGAGATGGACATTGTTACCCTAGGTAAGTGTATGATTGCACATATGGTGCTACACTACATCATGTACAACCAGAGAAATGAAAAGTTGTGCTGCAATTGTGTACAATGAATCAAAATGCATTCTGCTGTCTTATATACCTAATTAGAATAAATAAAAATTTACCAAAAACAGAGCCATCAATGGCAGGTGGCTTGTCAGTCAGGATGAAAGTACCTGCAACACCAGCTGAGCTTCTCAAAGCAGAGTGCCCCCACCCCTGCTGTTCCCAGATGGGTTGGTATGACCCCTCAGAGTTATCTTTTAGTGTCCCCAAATTGTGGGAGGAGGGATCAGAGAAAACCAAGGATGCAAGGCGCAGAGTAGTGGGGGCTTCCTGGGTCCAGCACAAGAGCCCTCAGGGGGCTGGAGGCCTTTAGTGGCCTCCAACAGGAAGGGCAAGGCCAGGCCCACCAGCCCTCACAGGTAGGGCCGGACCCTCCCATGGTCCTCATCAAGTGGGCCAATGCCACCCCCTCCCCCTCCCCAGAGGGATAGCTCCACTCAGGCATTATTTCTAAGAAAGGGACCCAGGAATCAGGCAAAAGAAAGGAAACAGTCTTCTCAACACACAGGTAAGAAATAGTGCCAACCTGACCTCAGGTGGACTAGGGAGAGTGATTAGATGGAAGTTGAGATAAGAGATGAGGATGCTGTGGAAATGCCTCTCACCAAGACAGAGAAAGGAGAAAGAAACATTTGGAGAGTGGGGTAAACACAGTGAGTTTGGTTAGGGGTTGGTTGGTTTTAAGTTGCCCATGGAGCATCCACGTTCACATAACATACCGTCAACCCTCTAGGTATGCAGATGCAACGAACCTCAGGTCAAAAGTACTCAAAAAATTATATCTGTACTAAACATGTACAGACTTTTTTATTATTCCTTAAGCAACACAGCCTAAAAACTGTTTCTATAGTATTTTTATTGTATTCAAAATCGTAAGTTGGGCTGGGGATATAGCTCAGTTGGTAGAGTACTTGCCTCCTGGAGCACAAGGGCCTGGATTCAATCCCCACCACCACCAAAAAACCATAAATACTCTAGAGATCATTTAAAATATACAGGATATGCACAGAATTACGGTCAAATATGATATAATTTTACATGAGGATTTTAGTATCTTGGGGGGTCCTAGAACCCATCCCCTATAGAAATCAAGGAACGGTTACACTGGTTTGAAGCTCAGAAATTTAAGATCTTGAGGATCTAGCAAAAAGCTATATGTTTAGTAATCATTGTCCTTGAATTTATATATCCTGACTCTGCTACCTCTTAGGCTTAATCATTAAAGACTCTGCCTAATGTGTCTTAAAATATACTTATTATGTTCTGAACAAGTCATCTCTAATTTCAAAACACAAAAGATGTGATTGCCAGAGTGTTTGGGCTAGGACTTGTGCTGTGGAGAGGAGGGGCCATCTTTTGCTGAGCATTTCCTGTGTGTCTATATGTGTTTATTCAAACAAAAGTGTACATGAGTAATTGGAATGGATGGAAGGAAAACATCTCATTGTGTAATGTTGATGAAAGCTGATGAAGCAAGCTATCAGTTGCTCTCTAGAGGAATGACTTTCAAGATATGATGAGAACTATGTGTAGAATTTAGAAAGGGTTACCTTTAGGAAGCAACTCAAAGCCACAGAGACAGAATTGTGCAGCATTGGCCCCGTGATGTCTAACCTGGCCCCAAGCTTCAAGTGACTTCAGAGACTTCATCATAGCACAGTATTCCTCATTGCATTAAAAAGAGGTGCCAATTAGAAAAACTTTCAGAGTAAAAATTCAGCCCCAAATGAATTGTACAGGATAATTAAAACTTCAGCCAAGTATTTCACTTGGGAACTAATTAGAAGTTTTTCTCACCAATTGAATAAC